GCCCGTAATTCAGTGGTTGTCGTTTGTTGCTATATACCATATGTGTTTTTCGTTTACTTGTAATGTTTTGTACATAGATCGTTGGTTTTTCTCTTGAATAATTTTACATTTTGTCATTTCGGGACCTTTGATAGCTTGTTATGCGATTTGGGTTTGATCACTTTTGAAGGCCGTACGGTTACCTATATTTGATCACATCTACGACATTTGGTCCGTCTGTAGATAGATGTCTCATCGGTAATCATACAGCATCTTTATAATCTTTCTTACGAGGACGCTGGATCATTACGAGTAACGATATCTGTACACAATAAATAAATTATATAAACGCCTAAAAAGTGCACAAAAACAGCACCATTATTAAAACAAAGGAAATATTAAATGTAAGTATCTATAAATATTTCGGATAACAGATATCCTTCATCAGTATGATCATGATGTAAAATGAATCATATCAATCTATCTGATTTAACTATAACAATCTTTAAATTTATACAATTAAAACCGAACAACGCTTGTACAATTCTAAAATTTCAAAAATGACGTAGGTAAGGTATTTAGAACAGAAACTGCATAGATATGCTTCCAACAAAAATAGTAATGTGCAATATGAACTGGTACATTTCTAAAATTTCACTGGTGACGAAAGTTGAGTTATTACAACAAAGACTGCGTAGAAATGCATTCCCAATGAATAGCACCGATCGATTTGAACTGGTATAATACTCAAATTCAAATTTGACGAAGGTAGAGTAATTACAACAGAGGTTGCGTATTTACACATCCCAAATAAATAGCAGTTTGATAATTTTAAAAATTTTAATTTTGACAAAGGTTAAGTAATTCACCGTGGCTGCGTATTTATACATCCCAAATGAATAGCACCCTGCGATTTAAACTCGTATAATTCTAGAAGTTCAGAGATGACAAAGGTAAAGGAATAGCAACAGAGACTACGTAGTAATACGTAATATAACCCAAATGAAAAGCACTGCGCGAATTAGAACTACACCTTTTTATTGATCCCATTTGGTGCAAAAGTTTTTAATTTTCTTATCCAAAATCTTTCCCGAGTGAGTCTATCCCCCCTAAACCCAAGTTGTGTTGTGGTCTATGATTGTTATGGTCAGTCGATTGAGATCTGCCTTAGTGTGGCCAGGTGATCTCAAATGTCGACTGAGAGGAAGGTCTGGCTTGAATAATCGGTACGATGGTCGTTCATACGTTTATGAAATGGCTGTTCTGACTCGCCAACACACTGTTTACCACATTTACACTGTAGAAAATACACAGCATTTGTAGTCTTGCAATTAACGTTGCAAAATATGGTGTATTCCGTACAAGTGGAGTGACTGTTAAAAGTCTGGGTATTCAGTATTTGCTTGCAAGTCAGACATCGTTTGTTTCTGCATCCCTTGCAAGAGCCCACAGACGAAGAGCCTGATTTTGAGGATAAATCAGCTCTCACCAGCAAGTCTTTAAGGCTTTTGTGCCTACGGAAAGCCAGTAAAGGTGGCTCGGGAAAGATCTTGGATAGTTTATGATGTTTTTCTATTTCTTTCCAATTTTCGCGGATAAGGTGTGATAATTTGTCAAATTTGCGATGGTAAGTCAGCACAAACGACACTCTTTTGTTGACCTTTTTGTCTTTATATTGTAAAAGTTCATCTCGGCTGATGTTATTAGCACGAGAGAAAACTTTATCAATGTCTTTTCTTCTTTAGCCTCAATTTTTTAGGTGAGCGCGAAGTTCTTGTAGTCGCCTTTTTTCAGTATGATACAGACCATAACAATCATAGACCACAACACAACTTGGGTCTAGGGAGGATAGACTCACTCGGGAAAGATTTTGGATAAGAAAATTAAAAACTTTGGCACCAAATAGGATCAATGAAAAGGTGTAGTTCTAATTCGCGCAGTGCTTTTCATTTGGGTTTTATAACATATTACTACGCAGTCTCTGTTGCTATTCCTTTACCTTTGTCATCTCTGAACTTCTAGAATTATACGAGTCTAAATCGCAGGGTGATATTCATTTGGGATGTATAAATACGCAGTCACGGTGAATTACTTAACCTTTGTCAAAATAAAAAAAAATAAAAAATTATCAAACTGCCATTTATTTGGGATGTGTAAATACGCAGCCTCTGTTGTAATTACTCTACCTTCGTCAGATTTGAAATTTGAGTATTATACCAGCACAAATCGGTCAGTGCTATTCATTGGGAATGTATTTCTACGCAGTCTTTGTTGTAATAACTCAACTTTCGTCACCTGTGAAATTTTAGAAATGTACCAGTTTATATCGCCCGTTACTATTTTTGTTAGGAGCATATCTTTACAGTCTCTGTTCTAAATACCTTACCTACGTCATTTTTGAAATTTTAGAATTGTACAAGCGTTGTTCGGTTTTAATTGTATAAATTTAAAGATTGTTATAGTTAAATCAGAATAGATTGATATGATTCATTTTACATCATAATCATACTGATGAAGGATATCTGTCATCCGAAATATTTATAGATACTTACATTTAATGTTTCCCTTTTTAAATATTGGTGTTCTTTTGAATGTACACTTTTTATGCGTATATATGTAGGACTCTAAAGTACGATGGGGACGCTAAAACGCGATGGTCACGCTAAAGTGCGATGGTCTACGCTAAAGTGCGATGGCTTAATACGCTTAAGTACGATGGTCTGTGTTATTAAATGGAACACGCTAAAGTCCGATGGCTCAATACGCTAAAGTGCGTTTTCCCGACAACAATGGAAATCAACAAAAATAAAAAAGCGGATTACCTTAATAGTGACGATGTGTATGAAACACTTTGAAAACCGTATTTTCAGTAGTTCGGTAAAATTAATTGATAAAGTAATATAAACTTATTGTTGCTTGTTGAACGTACAGTGGCAAATATCACATGCATATAAAGGACGATCATACGCATGATCATTTGATCATTTATTCTGAAATAATTTTGATATTTTTACTTTTCATGTTAAGGTTACATAATTTAACTTTAGAGGAAAAGGAGATTCTGGAGAGGGCTCACTTGAATGTTGAGGAATTAAATTCGTCCAAATTTAATTTAGCAGCTTCTCCTATGTTTGTAATCAGATGTTATGAACTTGCGAGAAATAAAGTCTTCTTTATACTTTCCAATGGAATCATTCTATAAATCATTTTTTTTTACAATATGGTTCTTTATTTCTGTTAAAGATATGGATATACGTCAACTAGACAGTAACACAACGACCAGATAGACCAAATGTCATTAATGTAAGCAACTATAGATTACCGCATGGCCTTTAACGTGGAGCATTGGCTATCACCGCATAGTATTCTAACTTGAACGTATATACTAGCAACTACAATGCACCCATTACACTTTTTTGACAACTATCGTACTTTGAATAAAAAAAGAGGACACAAATATACCCTAGACCAAATGTCGTTGATATATGCAACTACCAACTACGGCCTTTAACGTGGAGCCTTAGCCTACGCCGCATAGCAATCTATATATTATATATACATAGGGCCGCACAATGTCCATTGTAAAACAAATAAGAAGAGAAAGACAACGGCTTGATTAATAAACATAACAATAACCTACAATAATAGGAACACAGAAACAAACGAAAACCATTGCATGAACCCCATTCCTGTTACACCATCGCACTTTAGCGTACTATACCATCGCACTTTAGCGTGTCATACCATCGCACTTTAGCGTTTGACACCATCGCACTTTAGCGTTTACCATCGCACTTTAGCGTGACCATCGCACTTTAGAGTACCATCGCACATTAGAGTCCTATATATATGCAGGATTTAAGAACATCCGTTGTTCGACCTGCTAGTCAAATGCGTTTTGTTAAAATATACTTTTTCACTTTTTTTTGTCTTTTGGAAAATGTTGTTTGTGCTGTATTTAGACCCCTCTACCAAGAAATTTGTTTTGCATGCACACGTATAAAAATTGCAGTTTTTATCCAACGCAATCATACGTTTGAACGTTGTTTTTAATTTAAATTAGACTTGTATATATATTGTATACATATATTCTCTCTTGCTTAATTTTGTTATTTTAGGACAATCATATTGTTTGGATTTTACATTAATAAAATTCTTTTTTCTTATTCAATGATGTTTTTGGCTAATTATGACAGAATTTGATAGTTTTCTTTTGTCCACTAGATATTGTTTGTAGTTAGTGTTTATTGACCAGCATATAATGCACATATGTAGCGACTTCGACATCTTTATACCGAAGAATTCAACTTAAAACCAGAACTGTCTTGAAATTGCAGTTATGTGTGAGCTTTTACTCCATGTTGATGCCTCGCATCTTTGACATGAAGCAAAACAATAAAAGCTGTGATACTTCACGTTGTTTATCAGTAGGTGAAGTGTATTTTGTACGCTTTATAAGAAAAATATGTATTTAATTACTTTAATATTTTAATGGACACTCTCTCTCTCAATGCGGAGATTAATTTTAAACGAAAATACGTTACAAAGGGCATACTGCGGTTTTAGTGTAATTTTAAACGTTATTTATGAGCTTGAAATTTACAGTCAAAATCCGTAATTCATATTGCCAATGATGAAAGAAAATGATTATAGAGTGACAATCAAAAGCAACATTCGATGCGCGAACACACTAACAAATATATACATTTATCTTTTAGGATTTCTGGTTTTCACCCAGACGGCCCGGGTTCGATTCCCCGCGTCTGAGCTTTAGTTCTTAAAATTGAAATGATTATATTCATATTTATATATGATTATCAACATTTGATTATTGTGTCAATTATCTAAATCATTGCCAGATTATATTCATATTTATATATGATTATCAACATTTGATTATTGTGTCAATTATCTAAATCATTGCCAGTAATAAATTACTTTGCTCTTCATGGGCCCTTTAATTGGAATAAAAAAATATAATATCTTATATCTTTAGATATCGATCAAGTAAAAAATATTACCTTTCACCATATATGCAAAATATACATTTCCAAATACGTTTTCTTCTTCCTTACTAGTTTTCCCGTTTTCTTCAAACAGTATGATTTGGCTTAGAAAATAACAACTTAAATACCCTATGAGAAACAATAGAATACAACAAATGGTCTGACTTTTGTAGCTGTAGTGTAATTAATTATCCTTTTTGCAATGTGTAATGCATTGTTATATTTTGTTAAACACGATTTACGAAGTAAATATAATGAATTGTGTTTAAATGATCGTTGAGATCAAATTGCATATCTTTACAGCTGGTTAAAAAACAGGAAATACTTATGCTTTACTTGAAAATATTTTTTAGATCTTAGATGTTGGGATGGATCATTATCATAGTACGCGGAATAAGAGCACTGAAATTACCGTAGGAAATTTTGAAAAGGAATATGAAAACATGGGACTGTTTGGGTTTTGCAATAAAAATTATATTCTTGTGTTCAGACAAGATTGAATTACAAAATTATCCCTGCTATTTTCTACCCACAAGATCAAAATGAACAAGCTGATGAGAATGGAATTTGAATCATGATAATGTTTACAATATACCTTAAATATTGTTTGTAAAAGATCTATTATAAACTGTGATCCACAGAATGAATCCATGTATGGTTAAATATAAAATAAATTACTACATCCATTTAAAAAACCACACTTATTAGCCATTTGTAAGCATTTATATGATTACATGAACATAACATATTAAACATAAAGGTACACAAAAGGCTAAGACAGAGTTGTGTTAGTAAACAATTAATGGGGTAATACCACGGATTCCACAGTTCCTTAGGAGCCCTATCATTGGAGCCTGGATACATAAAGCGGAGCCCTGAGCCCCAAAACTTGCCTAAAGGAGCCCGTAGCCCATTATATTGAGTCTAGAGCCCAACGATAAAATTAGAATGGAACCCGGAGCCCAAAGCCCGTGTTGCCCCCCACAATTAAGAAAGTTGACCATGACGTGAAAAAAAAAAAACGAATCGGATATTGATCTAACCTCTTCACGTATATTAAAGGCCGATCATAGTGCATAAATTTCTATAGTAATAAAGGGAATAACTGGATGTGCAGTCCTGTGACAGTTCAATTCATTATATTAAGATATACATTGTCGGATACATTGAAAAACCAGACATATAATATATGTCTCTGGAAGAACTACTAGTATTCAAGCAAGTTAGAAGAAGACGTCCGTCCACTATAGAAATGCTGACAAATTATCAACCGAAGACAAATATAGAATCACATTCAACAGAAATTTAGTCACAGTGCTTGTACATTTTTACCCTCTAGTGAATCTTTACTAAAGAGCTACTTCAATGTATTTACATTTGAATGCATATTTTTATTTCTTTTTATGTTAACTTTTTTTTGAAACGGGTATATTTTGCACCTTCTGAAAAATAGTCATTAAAGAAATTTATAATCCCACAATTTATTTAAGAAAAAGCACATGCCCTCTGACAAAAGATGAAGTGTGAAGTTGTTTGCATAGGCCCCGAAAATAATCAGTACTGGAGCAAGAATTAACTAGAGGCTCTCAAGAGCCTGTGTCGCTCACCTGATTCTACTTTGGTTTTGGAAATCATGTAAAAATAGATTAAAATCATAACAGATACCCTAATAATGAATGAGGCCAAATTTGGTTTAATATTGGCCCTGTAATTTAATCAAAAGCAGAAGACTTTTGTACAGAAATTACCAATAAATTCATTGTGACTTTAAAAGGACAATAACTCCAAGAAGATGTCAATTGACAAATTTGCTCATGTTGACTTATGTGTAGATCTTCTTTTCTTGATACTTTTGCAGTTTACAGTATATCTCAATCTATAAAGATACATGTATTGAGGACTCATCACCACCTCATAAGGAACATTTATGCCATGTTTGGTTTCATTCCATCCAGTGTTCTCTAGAAGAAGCATTTGTATGTATTTCCCATGGGGTCTTATGTTAAACTAAGTCCCCTGCTGGCGGCCATCTTTGATGATGGTTCTGCTACAAAGTAACAATACTTGGTCAGCACCTCTTTAGGAACATTAATGCCATGTTTGGTTTCATTCTATTCAGTGGTTCTCTAGAAGAAAACATTTGTATGTATTCCACATAGGGTCCTATGTTAAACTTACTCCCCCTGCTGGCAGCCATCTTGGATGACAAATCAGCTACAAAGTAACAACACTTGGTCAGCACCTCAAAAGAAACATTCATACCATGTTTGGTTTCATTCCATTCAGTGGTTCTTCAAAAGAAGACTTTTGTATGTATTTCACATAGGGTCCTTTGTTAAACTAAGTTCCCTGCTGGCAGCCATCTTGGATAATTGATTGGCTACAAAGTAACAACATTTGGTCAGCACCTCATTAGGAACATTCATGCCATGTTTGGTTTCATTTCATTCAGTGGTTCTCTAAAAGAAGACATTTGTATGTATTGTCCATAGGGTCCTTTGTTAAACTAAGTTCCCCGCTGGCAGCCATCTTGAATGATTGATTGGCTAAAAAGTAACAACACTTGGCCAGCACCTCATTAGGAACATTCATGCCATGTTTAGTTTCATTCCATTCAGTGGTTCTCTAAAAGAAAACATTTGTATGTATTTCCCATAGGGTCCTATATTAAACTAAGTCCCCGCTGGTGGCCATCTTGGATGATTGATCGCCTACAAAGTTACAACACTTGGTCAGCACCTCATAAGGATCATTCATGCCATGTTTTATTTCATTCCATTCAGTGGTTCTCTAAAAGAAGACATTTGTATGTATTTCTTATAGGGTCCCATGTTAAACTAAGTCCAACTCTGGCGGCCATCTTGGATGATGGATCGGCTTCAAAGTAACAACACTTGGTCAGCACCTCATAAGAAACATTCATGCCGTGTTTGGTTTCATTCCATTCAGTGGTTCTCTACAAGAAGAAATTTGTATGTATTGTCCATAGGGTCCTATGTTAAACGAAGTCCCCCGCTGGCGGCCGTCTTGGATGAATGATCACCTACAAAGTTACAAAACTTGTTCATCACCTCATAAGGAACATTCATGCCATGTTTTTATTTCATTCCATTTAGTAGTTCTCTAAAAGAAGACATTTGTATGTATTTCCAATAGGGTCCTATGTTAAACTTACTCCCCCTCTGGCGACCATCTTGGATGATGGATCGGCTTCAAAGTAACAACACTTGGTCAGCACCTCATAAGGAACATATATGACGTGGCTCTGTACTTATAATTCTCGTCATTGTGTTATTGTACTATGGTAAATTTGTGTATTCTTGTTTTTAATTTTTGCTAATATGCTTGGTCTATATACCATTTTGTGCTTCCTTGTTACATATTTTTTGTTTTAATAGTGATTAAGATTATAACACAATGTTGACTACTGTACCCCTATTTTTGACATGTTTACCTATTATGTCTGTTTGTTTTGTTCACTCATCGTTGTCAATATAATGGAATTTGATGAGACTGTCATAAAAGTGAGAGGTTTAGCTAGCTTTAAAACCAGGTTTAATCCACCATTTTCTACATAAGAAAATGCCTGTACCAAGTCAGGAATATGACAGTTGTTATCCATTCGTTTGATGCGTTTGAGCTTTTGATTTTGCCATTTGATTAGGGACTTTCCTTTTTGAATTTTCCTCGGAGTTCGGTATTTTTGTGATTTTACTTTTTTCTCTAAAAGAAGACATTTGTATGTATTGTCAATAGGGTCCTCAGTATCAGCCATCTTGGTTGATGGATTTGCTACAAAGTAATAACACTTGGTGAGCACCTCATAAGGAACATTCATGCCATGTTTGGTTTTATTCCATTCAGTGGTTCTCTAGAAGAAGTTCAAAATGTAAAACATTAACGATGACGACGGACACCAAGTGATGAGAAAAGCTCACTTGGCCCTTCGGGCCAGGTGTGCTAAAAAATAATGAAAACAGTATTAACGTAGAACCTCAAAAGAGAATGTGCTGCTCACCTAGTTCCATGTGCATCTTCAACAATGGACACTCTCCAACATTGTGGACTAGAATATAATTCATGACAAAAACCTCTTGTATTGCTGATCCTTTTTTTAGTTTGCAGTTTCTCTCTATTTTTTGTTTGTTTTTGGGGTCATTTTTGCCATTTAAAGTGTCGATCTTTTATAGTTTTCAAGATAATAGTCAAAACGTAAAATATTGGTAAAAATCGTCATTAAAGAGCAAGAACTCCATTAAGGAGTCGACTGACAATTTCGCCTATGTTCATTTATTTGTTAATTTAGTCTTGCTGATCATTATTGCCATTTAAAGTGGCTATCTATATTGAATAGTTTTCATTATTAGAGGCAGAACACTAAAAATTGGTAAAATTCTCATTAAAGAGCAAAAACTCAAATAAGGAGTGAACTGATGATTTCGACCAGCAGACTTATTTGTAGATCTTGTCTTGCTGATCATTTTTGCTTATTCAAGTTTCTGATCTATCTAACATTCTTGATTCGAGCAGTACTGTTAAGTCTTTTGTAGACAAAACGCGCGTCTGGCCTACAAAATTTAAATTCTAAGAAAGTGATTTGTCAAATGTTAAAAAAATCAATGTTAAAATAAGTGGTTTGTTGTTGAATAAATTATAGTTATAAATTCAAGATTGATAAAGTAGATGTTTATTGGTCAAGGTTCAGAATTTGGTTGAGTATTGTTCTGATTTTGGTATAAGAGTATGGTTCAGACCTTAAAGTCCTATGGTCGATGATTTTCAAGACCATGAAAACAGGTCGAGAATGGGTTAAGACTGTTTCAACCCGGTCGAGATTGCTCTGACTTCTAACGGCTGTTTCGCCAGACAAGATGGGGCCGTGGAACAGCTGTTGAATGTTAGAGCAATTTCTGACAAGTCGAGTACAAGTTCAGACTGTTCGGTGTGGTTCAGACTACAGTCAAGTGATATCGAGTGGAAATCGGACCGGTCCGGAGTGGTCAAGTGAGGATCGGTACAGTCGAGTGCAGGAAGTGCCCATTTCAGACTTTGAATAGTTTGTTGTGTTATTGCATGCTTATTATGTATTGTATTGCTTTGCCTT